ACCCTGTTGCTCAGAGCTTGCACTCTAACCAACTGCGCCACCCGGCTGGCCCCCAGACTAGACTTCTAAGTACCCTTCTGAGAGTGTGTGACTTCTCTAGGAAGATAGAAAGCTTCCCTTTGTTCAAATTACCCTTTCTTTCTTGTGTAGCAGGAGAATTGGCATTAAAATAAACATTCATACTCATTTTAGGGTTTGTGGCACATAGTTTGTTTAATCCAGATTGGATACATCAGGTACAGCAGTGGCACATGACTCAATACTGTAAATGATAAACGTTTTAACATATGCACTACAGTTTCAAAAGAAGACGACAGGAAACTTGAGTTTTTTTTTTCCCGTAGAAAGTTTTCACATGTTTATCTTCCTGCAGTTTTGTACAGTATTTCTTCTTTGCCATTGTGATGTTGGTAAGCAAAGCCCATTTATTATACGAAAATAGAAAAGAACACACTTGATGTTTTTCACGATAACATTAATGGGGGGGGGGAGATGACCGCTAAGGAAAACATTACGTTGGAATGTCTGATTATCAAAAATATACCGTCCCTCCCGCCTCCCAGGTTTGTAAAATAGTCTATTGGTCCAAGGAGCCCCCCTGGACTTGGGTCAGTGCCCTACACTGGTTAGAGTGACACCATCCAGTGTAGTTAAGTAACCTGCTAAGATAAATGTCATTCCCACACTTGATGAGAAAAACATAGAACATTCTGAGTAGAAAACAAGACTCAAAAGGAACCCCTTTTAAGCTTTTTTTTTTTTTTTTTTTTCTGATAGCCACTTTAGTTCTAATAATGCTCTTCCCGCTGCTGTTTGGGCTCCAAGGGTGACGGACGGGTCATGACAATGTTTTCCTTTGTCCAGTTGTTGTAAAGCTTTGCAAAAGATGAGATTTCATAAGGAAATCAGAAAGGGAAAATGACAACCTTTCAGGGTCCTGTTTGTCATGGTTACCATGCCAGCTAGTTTAGAAGGGAAACTAATATTGCCTTAGTAATTGATGATCCCAGCATTGGGGTCTGTCTGTCTTGTAGTTACCTGGTAATGGAAGTGTGGGAGTCTGGACACTGGAATTCATTAATAACCTCAAGATAGAAGTTTAGCTCAATTTCAACCACTACGCCTACAAAGTTAAAAAAAAGAAAAAGGAAAAAATATCTAGGTGCATGTTTCAATGTACACTTCCCCTGCCTATATTCTAACAAGTAAGTGACGTGATCATGAACTGTACGAATCATAGCTTGAAAACGGTAAAGTCCACAGCATAATCTGTGACTTGACTGTTGTGTGAATCATGGATCAGCATTTACTGTCCACTTTCATATGTGTTCAGACTCTTTGTTTTTCTTAATTTCACTTTTCAACTTGCTGGCCTTATTATACTCTTGTGTGATTATAGACTAAGGTGTTCAGTTGTCATTGAGAATATCTGATCTTTTGAACAGGATTCTATGCAGTTAGTCCTGAGCTTGACACTAAAGAAAGTAGGGGATGAAAGAGAAATGGTACAAAGTTTGCTTCTGGAGGTCCTGGCTTAGGATGGCTCTGGATGGAATTCTTCCTCACCCTTAATCACCACTGTTAGATCCAGGTATTAAAAATAAAAGCAAGCCTCAAAGTAATGCCACATGATATGGAGGAAAAACCCCAGGACAAGGGGTCTAAGCCCTGGATTGCAGTCATAGTTCTGCCATGCGAACTTGGATAAGTCACTCTGCTTCTTCCTGCCCACTTTCCTTGCTGTGAATCAAGGGTGTAGCTTGACCCACCGCTGTCAGAGGCTGTAAGGATCAAAAGGACTTCAGGAAGTATGCTTTGAAATGTCCTAGCCCTCTCTTCACTGAGAGGAGATGGCATTAGACTGAAAATGCCCGATTGTTCACTTGGTCACCTATTTTTGATAGAATGGCTAGTCCATGTTCGGTTCTACCCAGGGAATGGTGGTTTCCACAGTATGGTTTGTGTGAGTCCAGTCAGGTGGTTTCCAGGGGCCGTGTCCAAGTACCACTGACATTCGCAGAGGACCGTATCTCTAGTTATTGCACATACCCTTTGAGGGGTCTTCTTGGAAGCATTGTCATGCTGAGAGGCAGTGGGTGTTGTGGGAAAAGCATTAGACCAATAGCCAAGGGGCTTGTGTCCTGGTCCCAGCTCTGTCATTAAATGGCTGCATGACCTTGAGCAAGTCACTTAATTTCTTTCGGCCTCAGCTTTCCATACTGTAAACTATTAAACAGATTCTGTAATCTCTTCTAGTTCTAATGTATTCTTAGTACTAAATTTTCTAAGTTTCCATTTATCTGAATGTTGACTATTGTTGTGTTTTTTTTTTAACCCTCCCTAATGCTGAGTGGGCCTGAATGGAATAGGTGGTTTTGGGGAACCTGTTATTATACTGAAGTGGTTCATGAACTAAGAAAGCTCAAGAGTCATTGCACCAGAAAGCCCATTGCCCCCCAAAAACCCTGATATCCTGGTTCTTCAGTCACCAGCCAGTGAGCTCGACTTACTAAACTGATTAGACACACTAGCTCTTTCGTCTCCTTACAAATGCAGCAGTCTGGCTGTGCTCTGTTGTGTACATGAGCTACTTTCGTGGGTTGACATCTTTTGGACCAGAGGTGAGCTGGGTCACTTGTTCTTGGCTAAGGCTACGTCAGGGGATGGTGATGAAGGGGATGGTCTAACAGTCTTAGGAACTGGCACAATGTGGGATTTGGAAATGAAGCTGTCAAAAAATGGGACACTAATTGAGACATGATTATTAAAATTCGTTAAGTTTTACGGGAACCGCTATAGGCTCCCTTGGTGTACTATAATATCAAACAGGTCCTGGGTTGGACCAGTCATTATTCTAACCCTGTGATGTAAACACAGGCAGTTTGTATGTAGAAGCAACCACGTTCCTCTTTACCTCGTGATCACTTACCCCACTCAGTTTTTATGATGTAAACTGAGATCCTTAGACATTCCGAACTTTGTTCCATTACCCATTCTTTCAAAAGAAGAGTTCCTCTTCTAGTCCTTCACTGGCCCTCACATGGAGTCTAGCGCAGCTCTCCGCCTTCCCTAATGAGAAGTGTGTATGAAGAATGTACTTAAGTACTTATTCTCAGGCGTGTGTGTGTGTGTGAGTGTGTACAAACGTATTCCTCTGTTATTGTAAAGCTGTTCTGTAGACTTAGATCATAAGCTCAGAGGGCCAGAACCACCGCCTTCTCATGTTAGGGGAAATCCTTGAGGCCAGACCCAGAGAAAGGACTCAGTCAGTGGCCAAGAAGGAGAGCGTAAGGAGATAAAGGTAGAAGGCTCCTTCTCTGCCCTCTGCCCACCATCTGGCTAGGTGCCACCTCATAACCCTTTCTTTACCTTTCCTCGTGTAAGGGGGTCCATAGAGCTGGGGTCACAGAGAAGCCTGTTGAAAGTGTATTCAGGTTCCTGGCTACTGAAACTCGTCTAGATGGCTGTGGTGGGCAGAGAAATTCTTGGCCTAAAGTTAAACAGCTAACCACTAAGCCTTAGATTGGATAATGAGCCCCTGAGGTGCTCCTGTGTCTGAGCAGCCAGGCTAGAGGGATTGCCATGGTAGCTGGGGGCTGGGGAGCGCGGGAAGAGGCTTGTCATGAGCCCTGAGGCCCACCTGCTCTGCTATAAGCAGTGAAGATGGCTAGGAGGATTCCAGAAACGCTGTTCCCAGCCCCATTGGGTGCAAGCCACCGGAACAGAAATGCCGTCCAGGTTCCCAGAAGTTAACACCCGCTCTCTCACTCACAAGGAGGTGATGGCTTCTCCCCCATCTCAGTTATCTTCAGGGCCATCAGGCCCCTTCAGACCTCGAGGCATCTTTCCCGCCAGGTAAGAATCATCTGGAGCCTCTTACTTGCTTTCACACTTTGGCGCATCCTTGTGAGGCACACAGGCTCAACCTTCTGCAGCCTCCATGTGGGAGCTGCCTCAGGCGTGAGATAAGTCAGAAACGCAGCGCCCGCGCCATTGCCCTCTCTACAGGAAGCTGCTCACCGCAGCACAGCTCTGGACGGGCCCTGAAAGGAGGGTACATAGATGGGGCCGCGGGGGCCGACTGCAGCTGTGAGCCCCGGGGTCTTCTGTCCTCTCTCCATGGGCACACGCCAAGAGTTTGGCGATTTCCTTTTTTAAGATCCCAGTGTGATCAATCGGGTCGTTCCCTTTCTAACCCAGAAATGGAAACTGCCAATACCAACCGTGAGGGAGGCACTTATTCTACAAAGTGGACTTCCCTCACCCCTAAACTCTCCCGTTTGTGCTTCTTTCCTCTCTCCCACAACTACATTCACACAAAGAGAACCCAGGCACACACCCGCAGGTGCCCGGCGGTGGAGAACACCAATAACGTGTCTCAGGATCACTGGGGTCCATGTAGAGACAGATGGCTGGCCACTGAAAAACAGCCACGGGGTGAAGCAGAGAGGTACAGAGACAAAAAAGACAGGGGCAGACAGGGTAACTGCTGCTGTGTGGTCACTAGGCAGCTCCGTGCAGGTCAGCTGGGCAGTGGGGTCCCAGACTCAGTTGACCTCACCCACCTGGGGGAATGGAGAGAGAACTCAGCAGTCACTGACTTCTTAGCCTAAAAGCTTTGCTATATAAAAGGAGGAAAAAAACAAACAAAAAACAACCCTCATAAAATAACGCATTGTTTTGGTTCAAAGGTATTGGGTCCGTGGAGAAAAAAACGTTTCACAAAAATCCATTGGTGTTTTTCTTTTCCACCTTTTCCCATGAATAAATATTATCCATTAAGAGCCTTGAAAAGGTGCTTAAATACACAGTGTTATATTTTCTTCCTGTTTTGCATGTGACAACTCTGGCCTCTGTGCTGCTCTTGGTCTTGTATTTTCCTCACCGAGGTCTCCGGAAACAATTGTTATTTGGTCTGAGGCTCCCCCTGCAGGCCGGGTCCGGGCACGCAGCCTCTACCCCCACCGTCCCATCCCCTATCCCACCCACCCTCCCTTCCTCTGGCCCCAGTGAGAGGCAGGATCACAAGGCTATGTCCACGCCAGCAGCAGTGAACCTCAGGGGCCCCTGTGCTGCCCTTTTTCCCTTGCAGGCACAAGTTTCAGTGCTAGGGGTGCAACGGGGCAGGCGGAAAGAATGGGGAAAGGGGGGGGAGTGGTCCCAGTGGCCACCCACCGACATGCCAGCCCCCTCGGCTCCCACTCCCCGCACTGGCCCTCTGTCCCATGGTTTTACAAGGCGGACACCTTGACAACATTGCTGGCTATGGAAGGAATGTTCGTGTTGGGGCCCGGGCTGGCAGTGGGGGGGCAACTTTCCCCCTCCGGGGTTAGCGCGGGGGGAGTGGGGATGCTGATGATAGCTGTGGTGATCTGGGATGCTTTGCAGTTTGGTCTCAGTCCGTCGTCTGCTTTCAAATTAAGGCTGGAGCGACTGGGATAAAAAAAGAGTGAGTTGATGTGGGTTCCTCTTGCTAGTGTCCCCAAAGCTTCCTCGACCCCCTACATTTCTAGCTCATGGTGACTCAGAGGAGGTTTTGCTGTCCCTCTGTCTTCTTTTTGGTCACCTTGCCTGTAATGATCCATTCTAATTATTATTCCTAAACTACCGACAATTGCCAAGTCGTGGGTGTTGGGCTTTGGGGATCAGAGTATACGGTTTCCCGCCAGCGGATTGTTGACCTATCGTGTATGGCATTTGACTTGCTTTCCCTGAATTCCTTGCAACTCACTGGAGGTAGTGGGAAGTGGCCTAAATATAAGCAGAGAAAGGAGGGAAAAGTCAGTCTGTGATTCGAAATCAGCCTGGGACAAGCCACGCGTAACACAATTGTGAAATTATTTCCTTGAGAAAATGGTCAGTTCATTCTTTGCACTGGAATAGGTCATTTTTGGATTTTTGTTGTTGTTGTTATTTTTTTCTGGTATCTAACCCCACACTGGGCCTAAGCCTGCTGTAGTAACCTCCAAAGCACATAAAGGACCTTTGGGTTAACTTGCAAGGATGAGAAGGAAGGTGTGCGAGGGAGGTGGGGCTCATGCATCAGGTAAGGGGAGAGGGGGGCTCGAGGACCCTCAGGCTCTCCTAACGCTGAGGCTGTTTAGTCCTGTGAATGGAGTGGCTCCAGCGTTTGGGAGTGATGGGGATGGACGCCACCCACCTGGTGGTGAGGGAGGGCTGCTCACTGCCCTGGATGTGGATTGTGCTGAGCTCTTGCATGCTGCGCAGGCGAGTGGCCGGCAGGTTGGAATTGGGCAGGTGTGTGGTCTTCTTACTACGACGGGAGCAGCAGGTGGTCGTGAGGCCCGAGTGGCTGGACAGCGAGGGGCTTCTTGTGGATGGGTAGTTCTGCATTGAACTCTCCATGCAGTTCTGCTCAAACATCTGCTCATCTATAAACTCGTGGTTCTGTGGGAAGCAAAAGGAGAAGACGTAGGCAAAGGAGGTAGGCGGGAGGGGGACGGGCCCCCCGCCCCCGTACTCTGCATGGCTGCCTGTCTCTGTTCTGGGCCGGTGAGAGGAGGACTCCCAGCTGCCTGGAGCACAGACAGGCACTCAGGAGAGGTGAGGTCCCACAGGCACCAAATGAAGAAGGAAAGAGAGTTCTATGGGCAGCTCTGGCCATCAGATCGAAGGTGTTAAATCGTGATGTGACGTACGCTCCATCTACAGCTTTGAGCTGAAGGGATAACAGGGGTCGTGGTGGGATTTAGTGGCATCGTCAAGGCTAGAAGCAAAGACTTGACTTACTCTGCAGGCTTTGCACAGGACCTCCCGGGGATGGCAGACAGGGAGTCACGGCTATGGGTAGTTGGTCTGCTAGGTTGGTTTTTCTGAATTTAATGGGTGAGATCCTTATGAATCTTGGGTAAGCATGAGACAAGCTTTTAAAGGCACTGGATTGTTCACAGAATTTGGAGAGCTTTGCTCTTAAAGGCTAATGGGGTCAAATTGTCAGGGTTACAATCTCTTTTAATTATTTCCTTGTCACTTGATTATGGGGTAAGGATACCTGGAGGCACAGGGTTCCCTAAGTCAAGTGTAAGCATGGGAAGGGAATGCTAAAAGCCTCCTGACTAGAGGGCATCAGGGTGGAAGGAGTTGAACCCAGGAGGACTAAAAAATGGCTGTATGGCCAAGGTGATTTAAAATCTATGACATTAATGGTCTGACCAAGGCTGCCAGAGGGTGAAGAAAGTCTAAAGAGAAGTAGTATGAGAACAGAGTTCAGGGAGAGACCAGCGCTGACAGCCAATACCAGGAGTCCCCATGGAGCTAGCGGGGTGGGGGGTGGGTGGAGGGGTGGCACAGGTGTAGCACAGATGTGTACATGAACACTTCTTCCAGGATACCGACATTGATGCCGTGTTCCACCAAACCCTCCTAGCCCCTGGGGAGGTCAAAAGAGGGAATCAAAGAGGCAGTTGGGTAGTTGAGCACAACAGCTGGGAGCCTGAGCTGGTACTGGGTGTGGCAGCAGTGGGCAGGAAGGAGAAGCCCCAGAAGAACCAACAGCAGCACATGCAGAGAACCAGACCAGACCAGGGGGCAAAGAGGAGAACCCACAGACTCAGAAGAATCAGAGAGGAAAACATTGATTGAATTTTTAAAAAGTTATACCTTGATGGTGGAGGTTCGAACAGACAACAGGGGATCATCCACAAGATAGGACAACCCCTACAGGACAACATGCCAACAGAAGATAAGAACACCATTGATTGTACATTCCAGCATTCCCAAGCTCAGTTCTGACATTCAGTCTCTCAATCCCAGCATTCCACCCTTTGAGTCCAACATTCCAGCCCTTGCTCCCAGCATTCTCACTCCCTTTCCCCAACATTCCCACCCTGGGCTCCAACATGACCCTGCTCAGACCCAACATTCGTTCCCTCCACCCCAACATTCTGCCTCCCTTATCCCAACATTCCCCCCTAACATCCAGCATTCCATGTCTTTAATCCCAATATCCCATCCCCACAATCCAACATTCTTTCCCTCAGATCCAGCATTCCACTCCTTCAACGCCAGCATTCCAGCTCTTCAAATCCAGATCTTTCCACCCGTGTCCCTTCAATGTCCACATTCCACCCAGCACATGCAATTTGGAAAGGGCAGTTGGGTCCAGCCCTATTCCTTTGGCAAGCTCTGAGACATTGAGGGAAACTGAAGATACGCATACATAGTTCTTAACTCTAAGAAATACCAGATACATCTGGAAATGATGGTTTTCAGAATACTTCCCATTCTGGGTCCTCACTGGGTTTAACTGCCACCCACAGTGTCCACATTTGGCTCATCGTAAGAGTCACCTAATAGCATCTGTTCCCCCCCACATCTGGGAGGTCCGGATCTGGGACATTTAGAAAGCTATTTCTTAGTGTGCTGGGCCCCGGCTATTGGCTCTTTGGGGAGGCAAGTTCTAGGACGGGACAGGGAAGGGTTTCGCTCTGTCTCTCTTTGGTTGTCCAGCCTGGCTTCTCCCTTCCCTATTATTCCTAACACTTTTGGCCAAGGGACCAGGGTCGGCCCCACTGCCCTTCCTTTCAGCCTGTTGGTGAGGCACAGGCATCATTCCACATTCCGACTATGATGTCCTAAACCACGGCTCTATTTTAACAACAAGCCTTTCAGAATCTGACCTCCCTGGGAATGGCAGGGTGACTAAGAGGAAGTGGTAAGAATAAAACTCCTGGCTAGCAAAATAGATGTGCTGCCTCCTCTACTCACCGTCTCCTGTTCAAAGAGGAATGTAGGAAGCAAAGGGACCCACAAATGGCATCAACCTAGCCCCAGGGATAGGACAAAAACTGATGTTCTTCTGTACAGTCCTGTCGCGATCAAGTATACATTCAGCCCTAGTTTTGAAGAGTGATGCCCATCAGAGCCCTTCCTTAGCCCACAGTCACCAAGAAATGGGCCACGGGGCCTGGTGTAGGGGGCTGTGGAAAGGCTGGGGGTAATGGCCTCTTTTGTGCTGCAGGGCAGCTGGTGTCCCTACCCTGGTGACCTTGCTCCATTCCTTGGGCTGATAGAGACCTCATCACTACTTTTTGGACCTGAAGGGGACAGACTTTGACTTCAGAATGTCGCCCCAGGATGAGGACGTGAGTCGAGTTCTCACTCTGTGAGTTCTACCCTCAGAAAAGGGCCAGGGTTCAGGGGTGAGAAAGAAGGTGCCCGTGGGCTGTGACTCACAGTGGTTTTCTCCAGGCAGTGCAGCAGGTGATGGTGCTGGCTCTCGATGAGTGAGGTGGTCTTGCCCATGGGCTCCTCTTCCGGGGTGCCCTAGTGAGAAAAGAAGAGAGGCTGAGTATTAAGCTGGCGGCTCTTCCTTTCTCCATCCCCTTCATTTCTCCATAGGCGGGCACCAGAAAAATGTGGGTGAATCAACTGTTACAGTTACCATAAAACATGGTAGCTTCTGGGCTGGGGGCCCTTGGTCTAAAGCTGGTTTAGGGGTAGCGGTGACAGTCTCATGGAGAGGTATGTGGAGGGGGGCTGCTCCCTGGGGAAAGTTTGGAAACATATCCTTCCCAGGGTTCAGACTGGGGCTTTGGGGCGTGAGTGCCGCGGGAAGCAGACAAGCCCAGGTTCCCCTCCACCTCCCAGCCCAGGTCCTCGAGGCGCCTACCATCAGCTCCAGTGCCTCGTTGAGGAGCCCGTTGCGCTTGCTGTGCAGGTAGGCATTGGAGCTGCCTGTTTTGGCCACACGGATCCTGGCAAGGCGGGCCTTCTGTGATGGGCAGAGAGAATCAAAGGATGAGGTCTAAAGAGAGCAGGCCTGGAAAAGCGGGTGGCAGTGGGCTCTCCCAGCGAGGCTGGGTTCCCCGGTGATGCCCGAGGCAGGGCAGGAAGCCGCGTCTTCCCAGCCTCACCACCTCTGTCTGTGGGCGCTGGATTGGGTCTCAGACGCTCTGCACCCGCTTTCTGCAGCTCGGTCATGGTCAGAGTTCCTAGGGGTTTCCACTCATCTCTCCAGCCGGGTGTCATCCTGGCAGGAGAAATACTACTCATCAAAGCCCTCCCTCCTTCCCAAAGTGTCATGACTTTTATCATGTCTGAGTATTTCTCATCTCTAAATAGACATGAGCTCTTCCAAGGAGCACGTGTTACAGCTCTCCTATGCTTCTCCCCTGGGGTCCAGTGAGTTCCCTGCAGTACAGGTGCCCAAATATGGGTTCATTACGAGAAAAGCAAAAAGCATGCATGCATGTGTGCCCCTCAATGCTTCTTAACTCCTTCTCCACTTTCTGTTTTTTCCTTAGCACTTATTACTAAGGTAGGATAAGTTCTATATACTTATCTTGCTACTGTCTCTCTCCCCTGCCAGAATGTAAGCGCCATGAGGGCAGGAGTTTTTGTTTTGTTCAGTTAGTATCCCCAGTACCTAGTAGTTCTTAAGTTAATGAATAAATTTACAGTTGCATGTCTGTCTGTCTTTGGGAGTGGATTCATGCACGGATGTGTCAATACTTGCATATGTTGCTGTGTGTGTCTGTGGGGATGAGTGTAGGTGCATGTGAATGTGACAAGGTGGCCTGATGTGTGTGCGTGAGAGGGCAGGATGGAACACATTTCCATATACCTCTGGCTTTAACTCGGAGAACTGAAAATCTCCCAGCTCCCACCTGGGAAACCCTGAGCAGACCTCCTGCCGGGAGGCTTCATGGTATCTCAAAGCGAGCCCATCTCTCTTGCTTGCAAGGGCAGTGGGAGGGGCTGGACGCACTGCAGATGCTGGCTGCCTTTCTCCCTCCTAATAGCCGTAATCAGTGTCATGATGACAGCAGCACAACCACAGAGTGAGGCCTAGGAGGGAAGGGCCTTTGGGAGTAGAGGGGTTCCTGCTGGTTTAAAACAATGCAGCTGGAATTTGGGCTCTTGTAGCTCTAGACCCAGCTCCAGGCCCTGGCTACTGAAAACAAAGAGCCTCTCCTGGGACCGAGGGGTCCCTCCTCCTGCCTCTGGGAAAGTCCACATTGAACTTCAGTATGGCCTCTGAGCAGAAGAAGCGTTCTTGGAAAATTGTGGCAATTTCCACACTCTCCCCAACATGGGGACGTGTCCCGTCCAAGTGTCCTGCTGGGCTGGTTCATTTGCTATAAGGAGGCCAGGGACTCGGGTTCAGGCTGTCAACAGAAGCACAGAGGACACACTCTATCTCTTGTTTCCTGAGAGGTCCCTTGTGGACAGCACGCCCCTGCAGGGATGACTCAACTCCTTTCCCTGGCTTCTAAATATGAGGAAGAGGCCAGGACTTGAACCTGGAAGATCTGCCTGTAAGTCTGAGGAAGAATGCTTCTCTAGGTGGACAGAATGAAAGGGGGACCTCGGAGAGAAAGGGTGGTAAGTAAGCTCTATCATTCTCTTCTCTCTGAGCAGAGAACATTCATTCAGGTCCAGGGCAATTCTCCCTGGGAGTCCTGCTCCAGCCTTACCCTCAGCTAGATGTCTACACTCAAGCCAGTTCCTAGTCTAATATTCGAGGATGTGGCTGCTATTGCTTTGGGTGAGAACTGGGTGTTAAGAGCCACATATGGAAATCCAATTGTGTCAAGCTCATTATAGCCTTATAAAATTTGATTGCACCACTTAGAGCCAGACCTGTCTCATATCTGGGGTCTGTCTTCATTACTTTCTAGAGATGAAAGATTCTCCTGTTCTCCTTTGTGGCACTTCTTTTAATCTTATCTTACCCTGGGCTCTATGAAAGGAACAGATTGTCATATCAAATGTACTGTATCATTTAATCATTTCCCACACAGGATAAAGACGTTTACAATGTGATTACAGAACCATACCCAGTGTATGACATTTGGTGAGGCTCTTTGGTTTGTCTTTGAGCTCCTGAGGGCCAGAGTCTGTGGCTTATGCATACTTTTGTCTTCAGCATAGAGCTTTATATGGAGCAGGTGCTCAAGCAAGGCTTGTGATGGCCCTGGAAGGAAGATGATTCCACACAGTTGGTCAGACATCCATGTTGATAAAGCCATTGCGATGGGCTCAGTCTTTGTGTGGACGGGTCAGCTTCACTCTCTTCCATGGTCATAAATATGAGGTCTGACAATTAAGTTCGGAAATTTGTTGCAACGATGTTACTAACCTTTTTTTTTTTCTTCTTTTAAAAAAGATTTTATTGGGGAATTGGGGGAGGGGAACAGCGTTAGGGAGTCAGGGAAGGGGAACAGACAAGTTGCTGTCCTTTTGTTCTTCAGTCTAATTGTGGAGGATGTGTCTTCACTGGCCCATGTTGGTATTATCATTGCGCTTTTCCCGGGTGAGGCAATTGGTCACCGGCCAATGGACGGCAGCTCATGGCAACTCACGCTGGCTGCCAGCCAACTCACAGTAGCTTATGGCAGCCCACTGCAACCCCACTGCAGCCTACGCCGTCTCCGGCGAATCACGGCAGCCCAGCTCCAGGTCGAGCTGTCATTCACCATCTTAGCTGTAGAGGGCGCAGCGTCACTGGCCCTCATGTGGGATCCGAACCGCAGCTCTGCTGCTCAGAGCCGGTGCTCTCAAGCCAATTCTTAACCAATGTGCCACATGGCCGGCCCTGTTACTAACCTTTTTTGATAGCAGAGGGATTATTCATGATGAATTTGTACTAACCAAGTTCACTATTTGGAAGTGCTGAAAAGGCTGCATGAAAAAGTTAGACGATCTGAACTTTTTGCCAACAATTCATGGCTCTTGCATCACAACAATGCACCAGCTCACATGGCACTTGTCTGTGAGGGAGTTTTTAGCCAGTAAACAAATAACTGTATTGAAACACCCTCCCTATTCACCTGATCTGGCCCCCAATGACTTCTTTCTTTACCCAAAGATAAAGGAAATATTGAAAGGAAGACATTTTGATGACATTCAGGACATCAAGGGTAATACAATGACAGCTCTGATGGCCATTCCAGCAAAAAAGTTCCAAAATTGCTTTGAAGGGTGGACTAGGCACTGGCATTGGTGCATAACTTCCCAAGGGGAGTACTTCGAAGGTGACTGTAGTGATATTGAGCAGTGAGGTGTGTAGCACTTTTTCTAGGATAAGCTCGTGAACTTAATTGTCAGACCTCATACAACATGAGAGTTGAAAGAGAGTTGAAAGAGAATGTAGAGATCATGTAGGCTCTTTTACAGACAAGAAAATGGAGGACATGACTCAGGGCAAGGTGGTGAACTAACAACACTTCAGCTCAGGTCTGCGAACTTCCAGGCCACATCCTGCTATCCTAACATTCCTCCTCCTCCCCTAAACTTCAACTCCTGTCAGTCAAGTCTCTAAACTTGACAAGCCAAACCCAGGAAGTTGCATTTTCAACAGGTGTGGAGATGCCAGGGTTGGAGGAGCAGTCCAGATGGAGGAGGCTGCCACCCTGGGTACAGTTCCAGGTACAGTCTATGCTCAAGTACCTGTCAGGCCCCTAGAAACCCTTCATGATTAAGTGCTTCCTAGTTGTCTGGCTGGCGGGTGCCGTTGGCTATGAGTTTTGGCATCTCTTGCCCTGGGAGAGGCAGGAGGAAGAAAATGAGGGAGAAATAGAAAAACCAAAAGAGAACAGGGGTGATTGCACTCGGAGACATTTACCCTGGAGAAGTGAAAATGTATGTTCACACCGAAACCTGTACGTGAATGTTCACCGCTGCTTTGTTTATAAGAACCCCAAAGTGGAGTCATCCCAGATGTCTCTCAACAGGCGAGTGGTTAGGCACACTTAGTACATCCCGACCATGTGATACTGCTCAGCACGAGAAAAGAACGCATTATGGATACACAGAACCTGGATGCATGTCCAGGAACTACACGGAATGAAAAAAGTCCATCTCCGAAGGTTACCTACTGTATGAGTCCACTGATATAACGTTTTTGAAATGGAAACGTTTTATAAATGGAGGACAGATAAGTGGTCACCAGAAGTTAGGGACGGGGTGGTGGGAGGGTGTGGTTATAAAAGGGTGTGGTGATGGGGTGGCAGACGCATGAACCTACAGAGGTGATAACATTGTATAAAACTCACACACACACACACACACACACACACACACACACACACACCCCAACTAAAACTGGGGAAATCGGAATAGGGTTGG